TTCCTTTTTCTCTTAGTGGTGGATATTCTTAGTAGGTTAATCTTCGTTGGAGTGAAGAAAGGGGCTCTGGAAGCTTGGGAAGAGGGAAGGGAGAAAGTGTGCCTCTCTCATCTTCAATTTGCAGATGACACCATCTTTTTCTGCTCTGGTAAGGATAGGGCTTTCAATAACCTTAACTACCTCCTAGGTTTTTTCGAAGTGATATCGGGTCTTAAGATCAATAGAGGCAAAAGTTCTCTTTTGGGGTCAATTGTGACACGAGTAAGCTTAGCGAATGGGCGACCTTGGTTGGGTGTGAAATGGGTGAGTTCCCTCCCTCTTATCTTGGTCTTCCTTTAGGTCATAAACCTAGAACTGTCTTTTTGGACACCGGTTTTTGAAAAATTTTAGAAGCGCCTTTCCTCTTGGAAGAAAGCCTTTTTCTCTAAAGGAGGGAGAGTCGCTTTAATCCAGGCTGTTCTAAGGGGTATTCCGACTTACTTTCTCTCCCTCTTCAAGATCCCGGTGGCTGTCAGCAAGGGGTTTGAAAAGATTACGAGGGACTTTCTTTGGGAAGGTGTGGAGAGGGGGGTGGTGCTCATTTAGTTAGTTGGAAAGAGGTTACCAAACCCTTGGAAGTGAGGGGCTTGGGGATTGGGAACTTGAGGCTTAGGAACGAGGCTTCTTTGGCTAAGTGGTTGTGGAGGTTCTTCCATGCACCTAGCGCCCTGTGGCGAAGGATTATTGTGAGCAAGTATGGGCCGCACCCGTTCGATTGGCTCTCGACAGGTGGGTGTAAGGTGAACAATAAAAATTCTTGGAAGGCTATTGCTTTGTGTCTCCCCATTTTTTCTCAATCTCTTCGTTCTATTGTGGGGGATGGTCGTAACACTTATTTCTAGGAGGATTCTTGGGTAGGAGATAAACCTATATGCTTAGCGTTTCCTCGGCTCTATCATCTTTCTGATAAAAGACTTTTTTCAGTGGCTGAAGTTTTAAATAATAGGGGGTGGGTCCTTCCGTTTCCTTGGGTCCTTCTCGTTCTTTGATGGATTGAGAAGCTTTAGAGGTTTCTGCTTTACTTGCTTTGTTGTCTGAGGCCCCCTCCTATTCTGAGAGGGAGGATGTGAGGGTGTGGACCCCCAACCCTTCAAAAGGTTTTTCTTGTAGTTCCTTTTTTCATGTCTTGAATTCCTCGTCCTCTTTTTCCCTGTCGTCCCCTTGGTAAACCTCCCTTTGGAAGGTTAAAATTTCAAAGAAGATTAAGTTTTTCGGGTTGCAAGTCTTACTTGGTAAAGGCAATACCTTGGATCGTATCCAGAGGGTGTCTTCCTCTTGTCTGGGCCCGCAATGGTGTATTCTCTGCAGGAGTGCCTCGGAAGACCTTGAGCATTTGTTGTGGACTTGCCAGTTTGCTCAAGAACTTTGGCTTCGTTTCTTTAGGTGTTTTGGGATGACATGGGTCCGCGCGAGGGATTGTAGGTCGATGATGGAGGATGTGCTGTTACACCCTCCTTTTCGGGATAGGGGCGTTTCTTGTGGCAAGCTTGTTTTTTGGCTACTCTTTGGGGCATTTGGCTGGAGAGGAATCACAGATTGTTTAGGGAGTGGAGAAATCTGTGGATTATGTTTAGGAGTTCATTAGATTTAATACTCCGTTATGGGGCTCTGTTTCCAAGGCCTTTTGTAATTATCCGTTAGGATTCATTCTTTTGGATTGTAGCCCTTTTCTTTAGAGGGTCCCTTCTTTTGGGTTGTCTTTTTGTAGGCCCTTTTTGTATTTCTTGTTCCTTGTTTCATTTTTCTGTCAAAAAAAAAAAAAAATTTAATACCATCGATGAAATATTTGTTTCATATAAAAAAAAAACCTCCCCTTTGAGTGCTTTATATTTTGATCTACCTCTCAAAGCTGTTAGGTATACCACATTTTTTTAATAGTATGCCTAATAACGTTTTAAATTTCAAAACTCCCCTTAGGTGCTTTATATTTTGGTACACTCAAAAAAGTCAAAATTTTCTTATGGATTTTTTGTTAGAGAGGATTCAGTCAGGATCCAGACGTGCAGCAGACTTCAGAGAATTAGTCTGAATTAATGCTTATCCCCAAATTGGTGCTGCCTGTGCAAAAATAGTGGAGGGGATTAAATGCACCTCTTTTTCAAATGTCCTTTCAGTGAGGTTTGCTAGAGGAATCTCTTGAAAATTTTCAAACTTAGTTGGGTCTTTCCAAAAAGTGCCTCGGAAGCTCTAATACAGATATCTTTGGGGACTTCTTTCAAAGGCCAAGTGCTTATTTTGTGGTCGAATACGGTGGTGGGTACCTACCCTTTGGCGCCTACCATAAGGTCTTTCATGACAAAGCGACCGATCTACCTATTTTATGGGATCTAATCAAAATTTTTCTTCTTCATGGACTCGTTATCTAAACCATTTTGTAACAATGGAGTAACTCATATTTTCACCAATTGAGAGGTTTTTTTGTAACTTTCTTTGGCCTGTGGTGGGGATATCTCATACACTTTCTATTGTACATCCCTCTTTTGATAATGAAAGTTAAGTTTCATATGAAAAAGAAAAAAAAATTGTGAGTTTCCAGGCCAGTTTGTGCCTACCTCGACTAATCTCATGGGATAACAGTTTGATCTTACTACATTTAGTTGCTAGGGAATCTCGTAGGATATTAAATCCTAGGCAAGTGGCCACCCACAGTTTGAGCCCATTCCCTCTAAGCCCTCTACTCTTTGCATTGGCCCTTATTGATTACTGAGTCAATCCATGATGGTTTGTTGAGTGTACCACATATGTTCACATAACTAGTTAATTTCGGTCCAAACTTGATTTTAGAGTTGTTAATGTATATTCTTTGGGTTAGTCTTCAAGTCAAAAGAGTTATAAATGTTTTGATCTTTGGACCAAAAATTTTTTTTGTGACTTTGGATGTGTCTTTTTTACAAAATCAGCCATATTTGACCCAAAATTTCATTTAACGGGAGAAACTAAATTTGGAAGATAATTTTTAGGATATCTATGTTCCTCTTCCTAGAACCTATTTGTCTTGATTTTACTAGTCCTTTGATGCCCAAGGTAGAAACTTCTCATTTAGGGGGAGAGAAATACTATGTAATGATTCTACCAATCAAGTTTCTTAGTTTAAGTTTTATACTAGAAGGAAATTCAATTTAGGGGGAGAGAAATACTATGTAATGATTCTACCAATCAAGTTTCTTAGTTTAAGTTTTATACTAGAAGGAAATTCAATTTGAAGCCAAGACGCGTATTGTTGATCCTTCACATGGCCAGATTGGTAACTAAGGACTTCACTCAAAACTTATGGAATTGATATTAGGAATCGTTTACTCCTTGCTAAAATTAACTCTATTAGAGTTCTTTTGTCTCTGGTAGTTAATTAAAATTGGCATCAATATCAGCTTGATGTGAAAAATGCATTTCTTAATGACGATCTTGAGGAAGAGGTTTTTATAAACTTACCAGTGAACTTGGATGTAATAAATTCTGCAAATTAATAAAATCACTCTATGGCCTCCGACAGTTTGAAAAAATCTATCTAGGTATGAATTTCTTTAAAGTCAAGCTAACCATACTATATTTAATACACTTTGAGAATAATAAAATCTCAATTTTGATTGTTTAAGTAGATGATATTATTCTCAGATCACCATGTCTAACAAATCTCAAGAAAAATCTTGCAAGTGAGTTTCTAATCAAGGACATGGGGACATTGAAATATTTCACAGCAATGGAGTTTGCAAGATTGAAGAAAGAGATCTTTGTTAATCAAAGCATATTTTCTTACTTAGAGAAACAAGACTACTTGGTTGCAAGGTTGCAGAAACTCCTACTGAACCTAACCTAAAATTACAAGCAGCAAATGTAGAAGAAATAAAAGACAAGGAACGATACTAGAGATTTGGGGGAAGATTAATCTACCTGTCTCATATGTGACCTAATATTGCAGTTTCTATAAGTATGACAAGTCAATTTATGCCTGCACTAGGATCGATTCATTTTGAAACTGCTCATAGAATCTTGAGATATTTGAAAGGAACTATTGGAAAAGGTATTTTATTCAAAAGGAATAGTTACTTCAAAGTAGAAGTTTATACTGATCCAGACTGGGTTGAACTTGAAGTGCTATCGATAGAAGATCTATTTTTGGTTACTGTTCCTTTATTGGAGGAAATCTGGTTACACGACGAAGCAAAAAACAAAATGTGGTGGCCAGGGGTGGTGATGAAGTAGAGTTTAGAGCTTTAGTCCATGGAATTTGTGAAGGTATATGGATCAAAAAGATACTTGAAGAATTGAAGTTTCCTTGAGCAACACCTATACAAATTTATTGTGACAATAAGGTTGTCGTATCTATAGGTCATGACTCAGTTTTACATGACGGAACAAAACATATTGAGGTTAACAAACATTTTATTAAAGAGAAATATATAGGTGCAATATGTATTCTAACGACGGAATAAGTTTTTGATATACTAAGGACTTATTTATACATATTCATGTAAATATTAGTTTTCAATATTTAGCCTTTTTGGTCTTTATTTCTCTCTTTTTTGTAGTAGGTATTTCTCCTACATAAGAAGATTTAAGTTGCACATATTTGAGCATATAAAAATAATTTTACTCTCTCAAAATTTAAGAATAACTTTTACCTTCACAACAAGGTGGCTGTTTAGGGCAGGATAGTGATAGGCCTTGATTGGAAGGGGAAGAGGGAAGGGGTGCATCAATTAAGTAGTTAAGATGCTGATGTATGTGGGGCTCATTGTAACTAAGAGTGCTCGAGTAAGAGCTTGATCTCAGATAAAGCTTGGGGGACTACGCAGGAGTGAGGGTGTACTGTTTTGGTAGACTGTTTTGTCTTTAGGGGGTGTACTTCCTTGGAAATGTCTATTTCGCACTAATATATATAGTGAGTTCTGTAATATTTCTTTTTCCAAACTAGTTTTATATCAAGCATGTGATGTTTGAATGCTTTTCTGTTTTTTCTTTAGGGGAAGGAATGTTTATGTCCAGTTTTCATCACATCAAGAGCTAACTACAGCTGATCAGAATGCCCAAGGACGAGGAGACGAGGTTTGTAACTTTTTACCCGGCTTAAAAAGGAAAATGCTTAAATATCTTGATCGAAACTCAGAAATAACTGGGGCAGAAATGGACCTCTATAAATATGTAATGAGTAGCATAGTTTTTGTATTGAATGACTTGGACACGAAATGCTATAAAAGTTTGCAGATTTGTTAAAGCATGACGGATAACCTCCCTTGCTTCTAAGTATGGCATGCTGAATCTATTTTAGGACCATGCTTTTGCCTTTTTTTCCCTTCCCTACTGTAATTGATTGTTAACGTGTAGGATGTGGTGAGGATTTTGTTTTGATGAATTGAGATTTGACTTGCACCAACTATTCTCTATCCTTGATCTGAGATACGTGATATTCTAATGATTTTTATTTTACCATTGAAATATTCTAAATATCTTTTTCTTTTCTTTTTTTTTTCAAAAAAAACCTTTGAATTAATTGTCAACATGTTAGGCTAGTTAATAAGCCCACGTGTGGAAATAGTGGAAATGGTGGGCTAGTTAATAAGCCCACGTGTGGAAATAGTGGAAATAGTGGGCTAGTTAATAAGCCCACGTGTGGAAATAGTGGAAATAGTGGGCTAGTTAATAAGCCCACGTGTGGAAATAGTGGAATAAAGGAATGAATTGATTAAGTTAATTATAATTAAACAGCTAAAGCTTTTGGTATCAGTGGTAATATATTTGCTATACTACTAATCAGTAATCTTTACCCAACACCTAGAAGCTCTTCATCTTAGCAAGATTGCCGATACTCTATAATTTTACGAAAACATATATATAATATTTTTGGATTTTTTTCTTCTCAATTTATTTCCTTCTCTCTCATCCTTCTTCATGTGATTACACTCTTGGTCACTCTCTGGAGCAGCCAAATCGAATACTCTTAGTCACAATCCATCACATGCTATATCCCATAACAGTGGAAGTGCTGCATCAAGTATTTTTTCCACATGGATTTGTGGAGAAGATCGTCACATTTCAGAAGTCAGCTGGTTAGATTGAGTTCTCTCTTCTTCCCCCTCTCATATCATCTCTTAATGCATGGATTTATTAAAATTCTATTCTATTGGAATTGTTCTTTCTTTCCTTTTCCCCTTAGGTGTTTTTTCGCACAAGCAGGAGTGGGTCCTCAAATAAAAATTGAGCCTTTCATCTAGAACTTGTTGCTAAATCTGTTGTTGCTTTCTACTGGTATTTTTGCTTTTTAAGTGAATCTTCAGAGTTGTGCATGAACATATTAATTGCATGTTTGTAGGGTTTCAGGCTCTCATTCAGTATCAATCACGCCAGTGTGCTGTTTCTGCTAGGACTGCACTACAAGTAATACCAGTTTTTTGTTGGACCCATCATTTCGACTTTGATCCTTTCTTTAAGAGGTTTTCATCTTGGTCTATTTACATAAAGGATGGACACTTGTGCCACTCTTGTAGGGACGCAATATATATGATGGTTGCTGTCAACTAGACATTCAGTTCTCCAAGTAGGTTTCATAACTAATCATGAAATGCTCGTGATTTTTCCATCTTGACTTGATGAATTACAGATTTATCGGTTTTATTGTGCAGTCTTGACGAGTTACAGGTGAACTACAATAACGAACGTTCAAGGTTTGTTGCATAACTTATCCTCACTTAATTTACTCATTTGCATCATGTATTGTATCAATATGGATATTTCCTCTCGATATTGTTTCAGGGATTTCACAAATCCTAGCCTGCCTTCTGAACCAAAAGGCCGGTCGTCCCAAGTATGTACCACCACATTTTAAATTTCTTATAACATTTGTCACTTTGGGTTGAAGCTTTCTGTTTTGTTTTCATTCTTCTCAACGAAAAGTTCGGTTTCTTAACAAAAAAAATTAAAAAAAAATTAATAATTAAAAAAAAATTCTTATAACATTTGTCACTTTCCTTCTGAAATCTTTTTTTCTCTCTTTTTGTATGGATGTGCAACAGCCTGGATATGGGGATGCAGGAGGCATGTATGCACTTCAAGCATCTGGTGCAAGACCAGGTGCTGGAGTTTTCTATCCAATAATGAATATTTTTGTCATACACTGATGCTCTATCATGATATTTGAATTTTTTTTCTCCTCGGAAAAATCATATACTTACCATCGTCTCTTTTTTTTTGCTTTTTGGTCCCAGTTGCATTTCCACAGGTGTGTATTGCTCCTGTCAAATCATGGTTGAGATGGTTGAAGAATATTAGCAACTATTTGATCATTCATTAATTATGAGGGGTTTTCTTCCCTTTTATAATAATATATCAATCCTACTCTATAATGATTGTACTTAACGTGCAATTCTTTAGTTTTGAATTAGTGACATTCTTTGAAAGATAAGTTTTACAGGTTTTTCATAAGATGAATATGGTTGACCATATCACGAACTCTTGAATAATTTAAGATCTAAAGATGTGTACAAAATTGGCTGTTACTATTGATGTCCATTAATGTGTCTTTTTTTACTTGTTTAGATGGCCAATGCAGCTGCTGTTGCTGCTGCATTTGGTGGAGGTCTGCCACCTGGTGTCAGTGGGACGAACGACAGGTGTACGGTCCTTGTTTCCAATCTGAATCCTGATGTGAGTAATATTTTATTCTTCTTTGTTAGAATCCTTCCGCTCAAGCTTTTGTTTTGCTGGTTGACACCACCATTAATTTGTTACAGAGAATAGATGAAGACAAGCTTTTTAACCTTTTCTCCATCTACGGTAACATTGTAAGAATTAAGCTTCTCCGGAATAAACCCGATCATGCACTAGTTCAGATGGGAGATGGATTCCAGGCAGAATTAGCTGTGCACTTTTTGAAGGTTTGTTGATTTAAATTTCTTTATATGCATGGGGGTTTATTTTCTATGTCTTGTACGAGTTGTTTTTATCTATTTCTTTTAACAAAAAGCGTTGTAACAATGTTTAAATTACTATATTTAGTTATGATTTCTTTTGCAAAAGGTGTTTGGATTAAGAGAAACAAATGTGTCTTCGAAGGTGTCGAGAGGTATTAAGAGGCTTTAGAAGGTTCGTTTCTTGTCAGGTTTAATGTCTGTTAGGATTTTTGTAATTATCTTCTGGGCCTTATTTTTCTGGATTGAAGTTTTTTCTTTCCCCTTCTTTTTGTGTCTATGTTTTTGTTTGACTCCTCCTTGGGCTTCTATTTCTATAGGTTCTTTTGTATTCTTTAACGGTTGACAATAGCTCAGTTTTTCTATCAAAAGAAAAATTAGCTTAACAGATAAGCAGAAATAGGTGTATTGTTTATTGTGTTGCATTTTTATTATTGTACAGGTATTATTAAATTTCAATTTCGTGGCAGAAGGATATCTATGGCTCCAGATTTTCAATAATATCTCATTATTTGTTTGTATTGAAGCTTTAATTTTGTTAGAAGTTTTTGGTTTCATGGGTGTAAATGTTCTCACATTACTTTTGAATTTTGTATAGGGAGCGATGTTGTTTGACAAGAGATTGGAGGTGAACTTCTCAAAGCATCCTAATATTACACAAGGGGCTGACACTCATGAATATGCTAACTCAAATCTTAATCGTTTTAACCGAAATGCTGCGAAAAACTACCGCTACTGCTGCTCCCCAACAAAGATGATCCACATTTCATCTCTATCTCAGGAAGTAACTGAAGAAGAAATCGTGACTCTCCTCGAGGAACATGGGCCGATTGTCAACACCAAGCTCTTTGAGATGAATGGGAAAAAGCAGGCACTCGTCATGTTCGACACTGAGGAGCAGGCCACTGAAGCTCTTGTTTGCAAGCATGCTATTTCTCTTGGCGGGTCGATCATTCGAATTTCATTTTCCCAGTTGCAGACAATATGATGAAGTTAACAAGGGCGTTAAACAAGTAAGAAGTGATGGATTCTTAATGCTTAATTGGGGTTGAGGATTCATATTTTACAAGGATTTTTAAAAATGGAGATGATGGCGCATACTGTCCTAATTCTTGTAACAATTATTTCTCTTTGGATTTCTCTCGTGGGATTGTACTTCTGCTTTAGTGTTGTCTCAATTCTTCTCGTCTTCTCCTCTCGTCTCTTCTCGTCTTCTCTTCTCTTCTCTTATATTTTCTCCTCTTCGTGCTTATCGAAATCATTCGCAAGATTTGTCGACTGAGTTAGATTTTCTTTCATGTTATCAGTTTTGAAGAATAGGAAGAAAGAAGAAAAGCTAACTTTTTTCTTTTCTTTTTTGAGGGTCTCTTTGTTAGGTAGTTTGTACATGTCTTGTAATTTGAAGCTAATGGGGCCATTGGCTGTTGTAATTTCAGTTCATAATGCTCAACTCTCTTCTACCTCATTTATTGATGAGCATATCTTTTGGCAAAATTTCTCCTTAGCCTTCACAGATGAAAGATTAGCTGTTAAATGTATGCATTCTCTCTCTCCTCTCTCTCTCCTCTCTCTCTCCTTAGCCTTG